AGGTTCACTTACCCCTGCTCCTCTGCAGGGCCAGGGTGAAGGCACCGAGCACGGAGGGCCTGTGCCTGCCACTTGAGATAGACTCTGCGGGCCCCACCTCAGCGAGCAGCTCCACTTCCATGGACAGCCTCCCGGAGCGCGGGCCTGCTGCCATGGCACAGCTGGCAGCACAAAAGTGCTCGAGACTGGCCCAGTCCCCCAAGGATGATCAGGGGCTGGAGGCCCGGGCCCAGGATGCCCCACAGGAGCCATCAGCAGGGCCCAGGCAAGAGCAGGTCCCTGGGGAGGAGAGGGACAAGGTGCAGACACCCAGGGATGTTGAGCTGGCCCCCGACAGCCCCCTGGCCCTCTCCATGGCCAAGTGGCAGCGCATCCAGAAGATTATCAGGAACATCTCCCGCAGCCAGGCTGTGACTGAGCAGCTCTGCAATCTGCTGCACATGGAGCTGGACAAGTGGCAAGTGGGCCCCACAGAGCCACGAAGCATCAGCACTGTCAATGTGGCCATTAACATCCCCGGGGCTCCGGGCAGCAGCAGCCCGGCACAGCCCAGTCCCCAGCAGCGGGCGCCCGGCGCCAGGATGTGCGGCTGCGTGGCCCTGGGCCGTGCAGGCTGGGACGGTGCCTGAGGGAGGGCTGTGACAGCTCTCAGGATGTCTCAAGGTCTGCTGGCAAGGGTGCCACCAGTCCTGCTGCTAATGCTTCCACAAGACCCCAAGGTGACAACGCTGGTTCCACAGGACCAACAGGTACACTGCGGACAGCAGATGGGGGGGTAGGGCTGGGACCCTCCCTGGGTGACTCCACCTGAGAGCTCAACAAAACCACTAACTTTTCTCCATCCCTGGTGCCGTGGTACTTCCACCCAGCCCTTGATTCCCCTTCTCCCCCGTCCCTTTGCCAAACCTCCCCTTTGGGTCCCTTGCTGCCTCCGAGCTCCCCCGGGATTTGTCACCTCTGTGCGGCCCCGTGTCCGTAAGCACCACGACGGGGACGTTTGCTTGGCCCAGAGCTGCTCCTGCCAGAGCAGGCAGGGACTGTGCCTGCCTGCACCCTGCTCCTGCCTCCTGCCCCCTCCAGAACAGGCCCCAGTGGCTGCGGGCCGGGGGCCGACCCCCCCAGGATGCCCCCACCAGCCATGTGCCCCCAAGTACCACGCACTGGAGCCCCTCCCTGGCTGGGCAGGGCAGCAGATGCCGGGGGGACAGGGAGAGGGGCCGGACAGGGACGAGCAGCGTCTGCTGCCAGGCATCGGTGGGAATTTTTGGATGTTTTTGTTACTGAACAGGGGGGTACAGGCCATAATTTGGATTTTCCCTTCATTATCAGCATTTACGACCCCTGGTAAAACAAACAACCCCCGTAAGGTTGTAGTCAGGCAGATGGCACAGAGGTGCACTCTCCCTGCAAGATACGCGCCTAAATTCAAGAAAACAACTAACACAGCATTACCACCTCCTGCTAGAGGAGGTATTTCACCTGTGACATTTAAAACCCTGAGCCCGAACAAACAGCAGCAGTGATGACCCAGCGGGCGGGCACTGCGACCCTGTCGTTCCTCCCTGGGCGCTTCCCTGGCGGGTGGGAGAGCTCCGCGCTGCGCAGCGTCACCTGGGCTGCGTCTCCCACACGCAAAACAACCGCACAACGGGGCCCCTTACACTTACTGCCGACACAACATAGAATGACAAAACATCATTAAGGATATTTAAAGCCATTGCTGTATGACAGCGTCAGCACCTTCTTTGTGAAAAAACTGTCGCTTTGGCAGGGGGGTGCGGGGGGGGGATAGGCAGGCACGGGCCGAGAGCATGGTGCCGGGCTCTGCGCCCGGGGGGTCGGGCGGCCCCGGAACCGGAGCCGTGGCGGCGGCGGCAGCAGCGCCGCTGCTGCGGCTGGCAGCGAAATGGACTGAGTGCGTCTGCCCAGCAAGCGCGAGCTGTGCAAGCACGTGGCAGTGGAGCCGAAATCTGCTTTTGAGGAGACTGGCAACACCAAGCAGGTGACCGACACGAAGTACGGCTTCCTGGATGGGAAGGGCTCTGCCGAAGTACATGCAGTCGGATATCCGGTTAATCGAGGTGACAGAAAACATCTGTAAGCAGCTGCTGGATTACAACCTGCATGAGGAGAGGAGCGGCAGGAACAGATGCGCAAAGGGCACGTCAGAGATGTTTGAGACCCTGCACAACCTGGTGCACAAGGCCGTTGAGGTGAGCTGTGCAATGAGAACTCTGCTGAGGGGGCTGACCTCAAAAAGAAGCGCAATGTGCTGGTGGAGGAGTACGCAGACGCGATTGAGGACTGGTACGGGCACCACCAGATGGAGAATCTCTCCCAGTTTCTCTGCGCTGACCACGTGCTGAAAGGGAGGACACAAGCTGCCTGGCAGAGAAGTGGCGTGGCAAGAAGGGTGACTTGGCGAGCGCGCGGGAGAAGCAGAGCAGGAAAAAGAGCAGGACGAAGAAGGGCTGGAAGGACAAGAGTGAGGGAGCTGCCGGCCTCCCGGCAGCGGGGGAGGCCCTGGAGGAGAGCGGGCCCCAGGAGGAGGCTCCGCTTGCCCACAGCCCGGCCGATGAGCTGTAGGCGTGGGGGCTGCCCTGCCGCATCCTGTGGGTGACAAAGGAAGAGGGACTGGCATTGCAGCGGGAGCGACTGCGGGGAGGCTGGACCAATCTCCGGGTGGCCGGAGGGCCCGGCCCAGCCCAGCCCAGCCTTGCCAGCCCGGGTGCGGTCCTGCGAGCAGCGGGGTGAGGGGGACCGTGCACGGAGCCACCAGCTCCGAGCCTGCTGGCGGGGGGGCGTGACTGCTGAGCACAGAGATCCACACGCTGGGTTTTCCACATAGAGTACTGTGCTGGCGTCAATGCCGGTTGTAAAAGGGCCAGCCAATTCCATGGGACTGACTGATATCCACGAGCGACTGCCTCTGGTATACGTGTTGTAAATGAGTTTTGCAGCCCGTCCTCATTAATGCTCTTCTGTAGTTCTTTAATAACAGAAAAATGCCGTCCTTCCCAACGTGGCTGATGTCCCAGCTCACAGCTTGCATGAGCAACAATCTTTCTCGCCACATCCCCATCCCCTTGCGCTAAGGCTTCTCACCTCGCTTCCACCCACAGATCGTACCCAGCTAAGGGAGAACACAGGCCAGATTTTTTTTCAGGATTTACAGTGTCAGGGTCTAAAAGCTTATCACAGTCTAAAGACCCAGCAGATAAATCTTGCTCCTGGGGTTCAAAACATGCATCCTCACACTCTGTGTTCTCCTTCTCTGTGTTAACAGCCTGGCCACGTTCATTATTTTGGGTTTTGGGGAGTTTATACTGGGAAACTCATGATGTTTAAATCTGTAAAAGAGAGAGAGAAAAGAAATATACAGAAGATGGGGACAGCACTCAGCGTTGAAAGGGGGAGGGACGCCCCTCACTGAGGTTTTCCAAAATTGGGGAAAGATACCTTTGGCACAATTATTACAGAAAAGGAAACTGATAATATTGTGCCAAGAGGAATGGCCATTCCTGACAAGAAACAGAGGAGGAGGGCCAATGGGTGTATGGCCTCTGAAAAGAACAGTTACATCCCATCAGCAGAAATTGCTCAGAATCATTTTGGAGGATTCTGAGTCAAGATATTGATTCTCGGTATGTTTGGTAGAATGGGGGTCAACCAAGACAGAAAACCTCCTGGATAAAAAGTGAAGGGAGTTGACTTCCTTCGGCTCCTGCAGCTGAAGAACCTGAACCGCCTTTTAGAGGTACTGGCGTGTATCCAGTGCGTCTGGATTCCAGCCCAAACCCCGGAGCGGGCCCTGGGGCAGGCGCCGGTGTCTCTCCAGTAACAGCAGCCGGGGGACACGAGCCTTGGAAACAAGGGGATTTAGTAGCTTGGCAGGCAGAAACGCCTCGCTTACGGGCTGGGGCTGAAAAATGTGCTCAGCTGGGAATTGTCACCCCTGACTGGAATGACAGGAAAACTATTACGAGAACTATTTCAAGCAGAGGAAAGGGAAAAGATTTTCCAACAAAAGTGAGAGAGTAACTGATTTGTCCAAAGTTTTGGAATGGAGACAAAGATCAGACGAGCACCCAAGTGATTATTAGGGCCGACTGAAGGCTACTTGACTAATTATGGGGCATGACCCCTGAAAATTTCCAAGAGCCACTAGCTATTAGGGTTTTTGTAGAAACTCACGCCAGGCTGGCAAGGTGAAACAGTCAAATCTTGAACGTTGCTGGTTTTGCTTTTGACGGGAGAGGTGGCAAAAGGTTAAAACTTGAGAAAAAGCAAGAGCAAGGAAAGAAAGAAAGCAAAATTAGGTTGCTGGCTGCAGCAATTACCCAAACCTATAACCCAAGAGGGAGAGGTCAGGGATTTCCCCGAGGCAGAATGAGGGGAAGGCGGACGCGAGGCAGAATTCCTCCCATCTCTCAATATGCCAGTTCTCTAGAGTGCTTCTGCTGTGGGAATCTGGGCCGCAGGCAGAGAGAGAGCCCGCTGAGACCCGTGTCTGCACAAGGAGGATCTCCACCTGCCAGACCTCCCCGACCTCACTCATCTGCTCTGGGAACTGAAAGAACAGTGGGAGCCCTTGGAATCCAGGTACACGACCACGGTCAGATTTCTGCAAAGGAAAACAGAATCGTTTTGGGTAAGGAGTTGGTTTGGGGTAACTTTGTGATCTCTCCCAATTCCCCTACTGGCCTTCTGGGCCTCTACTGAATTTTGAAGTTCTCCACATTCCAAATGGTAGTACAGAGAGGAGTAGGGGAAGCCATAAAATACCTATCTACCCCTTTGACGAGACCTTTTGCAGGAACTTCGTACATTTATCTCCTTGGCTCTAACAGGGATTCAATCGATTTGAATGGGCTCAAAAATAACTGAATTGGGAGGTCAAAACCCAAATGATTTGAATGATGTACACTTTGAATTGGCTGCGGGTCCCAGAGAACTTTGAAGTCCAACAGGAGATGCAGTGGGATGGTTAAAATCAGCTGAGCCAGTTGTGATAAAAACAGAAGGAGGGACGACTCCTTCAGCTTGGCAATATCCAAGTATAAATGAGGCCATTCCCAGTATAGAAAAACAAACTGTACTTTTTTTTTTTAAAAAAAGAGTTTTGAAGGAGTGTCGTAGTCCTTGTAATACTCCAATTTTACCAGTTAGTAAACATAAAGTAGATAACGATGGAGATCCTGAATAGAGATTTGTTCGAGATTTACGAGCTGTACACGAGCATGTCACTGCTTCACACCCTGTGGTACCAGATCCTAGGCTGATTTTAATACCACAGGTTCCAGTCCGGGCACAGTATTTCACGGGGCTTAATCTTACAGGAGCTTGCTTTGGCGTTCCAATTGCAGAAGAAAGCCAATCGGTCTTTGCCTTCACGTGGCACAGGAAGCAGTTCACTTGGGCTAGGTTACCACAAGGATTTTACCAGTTCTCCCACAGTATTTTCTCAAATTTTGAAAAATTATTTACAAGATTTGTTTTTTCCAGATAAGTCTGCTTTGATACAATATGTTGGTGATTTGTTATTGGCAAGCAAAACTAAGGATAACTGTATCGGGCATTTTGAGTATCTGTGTATCCAACTGGTTAACAAGGGACACCGTGCATCTCCGTCCAAGTGACAGTTCTGCGCAAACAGCGAGCGAAATATCTTGGGTTCATATTAAAGCCAGGACTTCCTGATTATTCAAAGCCTTTTACATTCTGATATGATGAAAAGAATTGCAAGAGGGGTGTTAGTACAAACTTTAGGACCACATGAAGGACCTGTTCCCTATTTTTCTTCCAAATTAGACCCGGTGACTGAAGGAACTCCTTTCTGCATTGGAGCAATAGCAGCAGCAGCTGGAACGACAGAAAAAACCCTAGGACAACTGTCCGAGGACATCCACTAACAGTCTGTGTGCCCCATTACGTAGAGATACCGTTAAAACAAAATGCAGAGAAAGATTTCCCTCCTCAAGGGGCACACAGAGACAGTTCTATTCTTGGCTAATAATTTGAAATTGGAAAGGTGCAATACATTGAACCCTGCCATCCCTAATGCCTTTACCCTCCCACGGAGAAAAAGATAACCAGAACTGTGTTCAGTTATGAAGCGAAAGCAGCACGCTGCGAGACGGATTACAGGATCAACCTTTAGATAACCCTGACCTGAACCTCTTCACGGACAGCTCCTCCTCTGATGCAGGAGGTGGCAGACGTACCCGGTTTCGCAAGGGCTATGGAAACGCGGGTACTCTCGGCGGGACCTTTGCCTGCACCTTTGGGTGCACAGGGAGCGGGAATCACTGCTCTCACAGAAGCTGCAAATTATGCAAGAGGGACAAGAGGTAACATTTATACAGACCCTAAATATGCTTTTGGTATCTGCCACACGACTGGGACTTTATGGCAAGAATGGGGTGTCTTAACATCAGCAGGGCAGACTACGGCTCATGGAAAGCAGCTCAAGGCGTTACTGGAGGCGCTACACCACCCTCTGAGATTTCTGCCACCTGTATAACAGCACCTACTCAGAGGCAAGACACTATTTCAAAAGGAGATGCTTGAGCTGACCAAGCAGCCAGAGCCGCAGCACGACCGGTGGTGTCTATCGTGTCATTATCACATCGTGAGGCGATATCAAACTCCCGGATATAAATAAGTTACGTCAAGACCTCCCCGGCGAAGAAAAGGGGCAGTGGATGCGGCCTGGAGCCCAGCCACAAGGAGAACAACAGATGCTCAGTCTCAAGCCTCTTCTTCCACAAAGGTATTTGTTACCGATTACGCGATGGCATCACAAAAACACTCGTGGGGGGCCAGAGAGCTTAGCACTCCGGATTCAAAGACTTGGGGCTGCCCCGGGAATTAGTGCAGCAGCCAAAAGAATCTGTGAAGGATGTAAACTTTGTAAACAACATGCTTCTGTATGAAATAAGGCACCCAGAGGAAAAAGACCTCCAGGCACCTTTCCTTTACAAAAGCTCCCAACTGATTGTGCTGCCATGCCAGAAACAATGGGGTACTCTGCCATGTTAGCGATAGAAGCTTTTCCTACTAGGAAAAAGGAGGCAAAAGCAGTAGTAGAAATTTTACGGAAGAAAACTATTCCTAGATACGGAGTTCCTGAAGTCACTGATTCTGATCGAGGGGGTCATTTCAGAGCTGCACTTTGAATTCAGATTTATAATTCCTTTGGCATTTTTTGTTTCA